CACCCCCCTCCCCCTCCACACACACCTCTTTCCCAGGGGCCTGTGGAGGCTGTTGGCTTCCCTGTGTGTGACATAGTGCTCCCCTGGCCAAAGAGGGGCTTTGACTCCCTCAGCTCTACAAAGCTGGCTGTCTAACCCTGGTGGCCAGGAATCTGGAAAGCCCAAGGGGGCTTGTAGTAGATTCCAGACCTGCCCACTCTACTGGGCTCCACTCCTGGGGTGCTCGGGTTAGAAAAGAAGAGTCAGGGTTGCTGACCTGATAGTGCCCTAAACTCTTTCTGGCCTTCCCTTGGGCTGCTGGCGGAACCTCAGACTGTCACTTTGTCATCTCCTCAGGGTGTTGTCCCTGCTGGATCTCCCAGTCTGATGAATTAAGTTCCCTTCTCTCTACGTTAGTCACCCCACCCTTCTGTTTCCCAGCTGCCGTTAAACTGCCAATTGGTTGCTGGGCTAGTAGGGGATACACACATCTCATGCCCGTGACCTTGCGAAAGCATGTTAAGAAAGCTCTTATTTTCCTGTCCACCATATGCAATAAAGCATTGTAGATAATACTAACTCTTCCTGCAACAGTGTTCCCAAGGGACATTGAGACACATTCAGGATAGATCATCGTAACAGCCCTTAAAATCTCTGAATTGTCTTAATTAGTGCCTTTTGTGATTCTGCAATAAAGTTACCACTGTACAAAGCATGAGCCCAATCCCACGAATCTTTTTCCAGTTTATGATCCTTACCCATGCAGCTAGCCACCCTGAAGTCAAAAGGGTCACTATTTTTGTAGGCCCTGATCCTGCAACAAGATTAATATGAGTCTGTGGCTCTGCAACAGGGGTGGGCAACTTGCGGCCTGATGGCCACCTGTGGCTCAGCAGGTTTCCACGTCCAGCCTGTGAGGCATTTTGTCTACAGTTGCTCACATACAGGGTGGCCAGATTCTGCTGGTTTCTATCTGAGTCTGTTTTTTTGTACCGGTTTTATTAATGTGACACATCATGCAGGGGCACGGGATGCAAGGTGTACCGTTTGCACACAATACTGACTATGAGAACCATGCGCTTCCACTGCAGCCAACCAAAGTGCTGCTCCTGTTCAGTTGTCACACCCCACAAATTCTAGGTACACAAGTGCAGTTAGCAAATCTATCTTATTCCAGGAGAACGTCTTAGTTATGACAATCTTGAGGCCCCCTGAGATAGAGGGCAATTCATACAGCCCACTGACTAGCTTAGGTTGCCCATTGCTGTTCTACAGAGTAGTGACAGGGTTTAGTACAATGGGGCCGCTCAATCTCAGAGGCCTGTAGAAGATATGTAATAGAATAATAAGCACAGCATAGTTGTTTTCTGTAAGAAAAGTCAGTATATTTATGGTTTGCTTTATAAAAGTTACTATAATACAATGGTACATAGTATTCAATTCACAAAAATATGAACAAATATATACAGCATGACACATCCACAACAAAACACTTTCTTCAAAACAAGATACATATTGATGACAGAATCTATATGCACAAAACATCCCTACATTTATAAATTTGCTTAACAAAAGAGAAAGCAGAAATCTTAACTCTTCAAAGCAGAGATTTTTTTAAAAATAACTTTAAAAAAAAGCAGATTTTTCATTTATTGCAAACCATTTTATCTGCCTCCTTTTAAAGGAGGCCCTTAACCACCACACTGTGAATTAAAACAACCTGTTTACAGAACCTATGAAATAGCAAGGAACGAGGGCAGTTTTTAGGGTTTCTTTGTAAAACTGCTGATTGGATTTAGAGTGTCCTTTACAATGTGTTTCTTTTCACTTGTACAAATATTACAAGTGCAATTAAAGAAGAAATTTATAACAACAAAACATTAAATTGAAAAAAAATCCAGTTGCAGATTTTCTTAAATACATTTTAGGGTGTCTAGTAATAGACTGTACATATTTCCTCGCTTGAAATAAATAGATTTTGCACATTAGGTTTCAGACTGGCAAAAAAAAAGCCTCCACTTGGCATTCTTTTGTTTCTTAATGCTTCTAATTTCATCTACTTATCTGACCAAAAAAATTTATACAGAATTTACATTATACAAAGCTTGACACAAGCTGTAAATGCCACCAGCTCCTTTTTTATATGCATTCCTTCTCTCTCTCCTGTCTTCCTGACATGAGTTAGAGCTGGAATCTTCTTTTTAAAAAGAACTCCAAATTACAATAGTCACTTTTAATAAATTATTTACATGCTCTTGAAGTACAAAGAAATCAGCAAAAAAATTCAACATGTTTCTACAAGAAACAGTGTCTGAAGAGAAGATTCTTAAATTTGCCTATGTACAGAAGATGCATTTTTTAAACTTCAAAATTATTTTTTCCTTAAATGTTTATTTTATATAGAAATGCACGGAAATGATCCCTGAAAAAAGTCACAAAAACTGGAACTGAATCTATTGTCTACACTGTCAGAGTTTAAAAATGTTTTTCTTGTAGAAATAAAGCTGTTCTGTACAATATAAATATCTGCAAGATGACCCCTTTCCCATCCCTTGATAGTTACAGATTATTTATTGGGACCCAGCATAGTTCTGGAATTGGAAAATATTGGTATAAAATTGACAGAACAATGAACACAGCAGGCAGACATGCAGGTTTTTCAAGCAGAGAGGGGCTTACTAATATATGCCAATTTCCAAAGCATTTATAAACACAACTAAAGCCAGCTCATTCACGCATGGGAACAATAATAAGGCTTGAAAATACATTTCCACAACTTCGGTGTTATTTTCTGGGATTGTTTCACATAGACACATTACTGTGATCCAATTTCAGGGGCTAAAATTTAGCAGGGAACACATTCAGTCTTTTGTTTCTTGTTAATGTATGCCCAAATAGAATTAAGGATACTTGCAGAAAATATTTCTGCAAGTATCTCCAAAAAGAATGCCTGGCAAGCTTTAACGTTTATTCTCCCCCACCTTGAAAATTGCCCACATTACAATTCTTTCCATCCATTTACAATGGGGAAATAGCTAGGACAATACCCAGTAGCAGGGCCTGAGGCTGTGCCTGCCTTGGGCTGGTGTCTACACATTATTCTCTCCATTTTGCTCTACAATCTCAGGTTTTGTAGGGTACTGGCCTTCATAACTAGGAAGAGTCATAAATGTGTAACTGGTACAGCAGCCCAAATACCTAACTGAATCTTCAGAATGCCCAGGTATTGTCCAACCAAGACTATACAGGTGACCTGCCAGGAATGAGGCAGCCACAATTAATATGCATAAACTGGAGGCCAATGTTGCTGCTCATTTAATGTTAGCTGAGACATCCTTTGGAGACTACAAGCCCCACCATCAAATGCTCCATCCTGGCCCATTCAGAGGCTGCTCAGTTCAAGATGGAAGCTTTGCATACAGAGAGGCCTGCAAGCCAAGATTCTGAAGAAAAAAACAAACAAAGAAGCATGAAGTCTAAGCTCATATTTAGATTCTGAAATCCACAACCTGGTTTTTCAAAGATGCTGAGCACTTAGCTGCTCCCTGGGCAGCAGCTGGGTGCTGCACTCTTTGGAAGAGTCAGGATAGTTATCTAAGAGCCTAAAGAGGGAAATAGGGATACAATTTTTACATGTGCCAGAGTGACAAACACTTATGGTACTTCAGCACTTTTGGAAATTTTACCCCAGGAAACTAATTGTAGTCTTATTTTTTAAAATCTTGGCCAGAGTCTCTATAGGCTGCTTCTGCATCATAAAGATGAAGGGAATTGCATGTGGTTACCCTGTCATCCCTCACAATCCCACAGAGGTCATCAGTCTCATAGGAAATACATTGTACATGCAACTGGACAATATATTTGTAAGAAACCAATATTGATACATTAGTTTGAAAGGACAGAAAGAAAGAAGGCAGAGAAATTAATATGGGTTTGATATTCACAACTTTAGTTCTGAAACAAAGCTTTAGTGCATTCTCCAAAGCATTAGCAATGGCAACAGGAGATACAGCATGAAAGGAAAAATCGTATTAAAACAAATAAAAGAGCAGCTGGACTTAATTTCAAAATGCTCCCAACACAGCTGTAGTTATAACCAGCTCTCAAAGACAGAAGCCACTTATGCTTCTGATAAATTTATGTCTTTGGGTTATAATACCCACCCACATTTGAGATTTTCAGAAAGCATTTACTGCAGGGGAACAAAACAAAACTTTAAAAAGGAGCTGCTACTGCAAGTCTAATCTCAGGGACAGTGTAACTTCCCTCAGCTAGAAATACAGGTAATATTAAGGCAGCTTATACAAGTCAGATGTTTCTCAATTTCTTTTTCAACCAGAAGACATGAAGTACAGAAGTCTTTACCATGTTACATACTGGCAAATATATATGTGGTTTAAATAACTTCTAAAACCTTCATTTTCAAGATTCAACGTCTGATCATTGAAGTATGATCAGGTAGTTATCATCACTAATAGGAAGAGTACGGAACTCAGTTGTCCAATTTAAAGGGGAAAAAATTATTTGGTAGGTGAGATAATGTGTAGATAACGTTACATTATGATTTTCCATATGCAGATAATTTTTAATGGCTTAGTACAACTAAGTTCCACTTATAAGCAGAAGGAATGAAATACAGTTTGAAGACTGATCTGCTTATCTTCAAGAGGTCAAATATATTTCAGATAAAAAGAAATATTTGCCTGGGTTTCTGTCTCATTTCAAATGGAATCCCTGGTGTCATGCCAAGGATTTCATTATAATGATATTTTCTAAAAGGAAAACAATGTTTTTATTTGGAAGTTCAATGTCTTAAACTAATTTTCATATTGTACAGAGCTTGAGACAGATTGTGCTACCCTCACACACTTTGATTAGTGCCTTAACTCCATAATTAGTTCTGAAATAAATGGGACTAATTCCAGGTAATACTCAGTGAGAGTGAGAGTGGCAGAAGATAGCCCATTACCAGTAAACCGCGAAGCTCACCCATACTGTGCAGAGCAAACAGTCTGAATGAAAAGGCATGAGGAAGGAGAGGTTAAGCTGCACATCAGGAGACAAAGCTGGAGAAAAACCAACAGAAGAAGCCCATTGGTTTCTTACAGGGAAAGAAATCTCGGTGCCATCTTCCATGTTCTAGTAGTGTATACTTACACAGACAGTAAGATTTCAACAGCATAAACAATGACTGTACTGATCATTTAATTTCAGCCTCAGTGTTTTGAATTAAGGAGGAATAGATTCACCAGAAATACAGATATAGAGAAGGCCATTGACTAGTTCACCTTTTGCAACAAAGGCCTAAATAACTGATTAAACTTATTGTGGCATTAAATATTTTTTCTTGTAGGGTTATAGAACTATTGATCCCCGCAAAATACCAGCATGGCATGTGAAAATTGGAGGCGAGCCTAAGGTGTTAGTTCAGGTCTATTACAGATCTGAATGTTCCACAGCATTCCTGGATGTTTGGGTCAGAGGAATTGACCAGGCTCATCTCTAATGGAAAGGCAGGAGAGTTCATCTATAGTCTCACTGTAGACACATTCAGGCATACACACACACACACACACACACACACACACCCCCCCCCAAGCCTCTGGCTTGCTCTGTAACATCCACCAAACATTTATTTACAATTTACTCTGATAAGTCTGTGCAATTTCAGCCAGTCAAGCTCCCAACAAACCTTTATGGCATTTTCAGTCTCTGCTTCACATTTAAACGTTGAATGTCTTTTTCAAACAACAAACTGATGAGAAAAAGGTAGCAGCATTTATGGAAAGACAAAAGTTTACAACAAAAAACAACAAACAAAAGGTACCACTATTGTACAATGAGCAACAACATAGGGACTGAACAGAGAGAAGCTAGTGTTTGGATATACTATGCCACAAAGTGGTAATCACCTTTTGTGTGTGTTGGATCTGAAGAGGAAGAGCACCTGAAACATGAACAGTCCTAGTATGCATGTGCGCTTTTTGCTTTCACTTGTGATCCTGACAGAAGTGCGAAACTTGCTTAATTTTCTTTTCTTCTCTTTTTTTTTTTTTTTTTTGGCAAAGTGCAACCACACCTGGTTACTGCAGTTTTGACATGACCAAAGGTGCAAGTGTGACAAGAAGCCTTGGGATTAGTTCAGGGTCCCTCTGCAGTTCTCAGAGCCGCACAGACACGGGATCTTTACGTCCTCGATTGGGAACTTATAGTCATAGGTAATTTCCTCATTCACGTTGATGTGCTGCTTTGAATAGATGACAATCTTCTTCTGAGACTCCACGGTAATTACTTTAGCATAACAATTTGGCTGAAAGGGTGACAGATTGGGAAAGGGGTTAATTTTCTGAAAATTTTAGATTTTCTCGTTTCTTTATTAGCTATCTAAATCGGCTGAGTTGGGGCCACAGGTACATTTCCTGTGGTTGAGGCATGGGGCTTTCACTTTCTCCTGCCATACTCAATTCCTCACGGAAGAATGGGGAATTAAGCCTAAAACCAAAGGTCTTCCTTCACCACACTTTTCTGAAGGTACAAATAATGGCAGTTTGCACAATCAGGACTAATGCCTTTGGACTTTCGGTTGGGAGGCAGTAGTGATTCAGACACCCAAATTATTACTGCTTATGGAGGGCACGCAGTCTGACCAATATGTACAGAACACAAGCGAAGGCACAGACCCTGCCTGGAGGAGATAGACAACCCTGTTCTTACATGAACACCATACATAGGGTGTTCCCATAGCAAGGTTAAGGCTATCTTTTGTTTTAAACACATGTTCTCTAAACACTGTTCAATAGTCTCTCTCCAGAACTCTTAGATACAGTCGGGTTTCTGGGGCCAAATTTAGAGCTGATTGTAAATTGTCATAACTTACATCTTCTAGTCCCTTCATGCCATTTCATGATGCTAGTCCTGACATACATCTGCATATCAAAATGTTAGCTACAGATCCTATTCAACATCACCACCACCTCAATGTGGTCTTCCAAATATAATTGAGTTTCTGTCTGTTTTATCTGTAAGTCAAGGTCAACTCTTGAAAGTACAAGCAAGTAATACTTACATTGCAGCTATGATTAATAAACCTGGCAAAGTTTCCACATTTTGTGGCATCAATGATGGTGTCATGGTCGACCCTGAACATGTAACTGCTCCCAATGCCTTCATCCTCATATCGTTTCTCTCGCATGTCAGCAATGACCTACCAGGTAAACCAGTTGTCAAGTTAGTGCGTTCCATAGGCATGGGCAGTAAAGTACAAGGAATTTACAATGCAGCTAATTTAAAAGGCACAAACTGAAACTATAATTTGGGATTTTAAAAGATATTTATGACCCCAAATTATTCACAAGACAACAGGCTTAGAATTCAAAGGACAAACATTTAGGAAGGGATTTTCAAAGATTAGGCCCTGAATTTCAAATAGGATTCAGCACCTAATTCCCTTGGACTCTGGAAAGTTCTGCTTTATTCTTTAAAGCCATATACCACTGAAACCTATATTGAAGACAACACTCTACAGGGCCCCTAGCTTTGCACTGAAAAAAGCAGCACGACTGAAAATGTTACGACCAGATCATGTAAGAAGGAATGGGCATCCACTACCCTTGACCAGATATTCCAGTCACTTGCATTCCTTTTGTCACATTCACCTCAATTTTTTCCTTGAGAATACTTTCAAACTTATAAAAAAAAAAAAAATCGGACTCTGCATGTGGATTTTAGGGGAAGCAATACTGAAAAAAGGTTCACAAATGGAGAAAATCGCATGGGATCATATTTTGGGGAAGATCAGAGCATTAATCTGAGCTTCAGATGTGGACAACAACGTTTTAGAAGCATCAGTTGATTTTTGTAGCAGTTGAGTTAGGCAGGGGAAGTAAAGGGGAGCTGTGTCTCAGGAACCCACTACTCAAACAACTCCAGTTTGGAAGATGATTATTTTAAGGGCTCTTATCCAAAGAGTAGGTGACTCTCAGCCATGTCTTATTTGACTTATACAGACTGTATTTTCTTCCAGAACAGCGACTGGGTAGCTAAAGGATCATGTAAATTTATGGGACACTATAAAAAGTGACAGAAATGCTAAGAATATGTATGGATTTAGTCCTGTTTAAGAAATCCTGTTCCAGCTTACATCGATACGGGATTCTAAACAACGGTTTTTGGGTACCGGGGGGCTTAAGCACATCAAAGCTTCGTTACTCAGCTTTAAAGGAACTGGCCAGTCCATTACGTGAACAAAAGTATTTTAAACTTGCCTTGTAAAAAATCATGAATTGCAGTCTTTATCTTACCCTTATTACCACACAGATGTGACATAACATCAGTGGGATTCTGCACACTAATTTCACCGTGCATATGTTATTCTCTGAAATGGTTTCCAGAGAACAGGAGGCAGGCAGGCGGAAATAGAGCAAAAGAACTGAGCCATGCACACACACAAAAAAAAAATCCCAACAAAAAACAAAAACACACACACCCAGAAGAAAAACACTCAAAATGTATGCTCTTGTGCGGTATTCAAAGCCTCAAGGAATCTTTAGTGTTTGAAAGTTCACAAGTAGGGATGTAAAATCCAATTTCATTAGTTAAGTGGTTAGATGTTAAGCCCATGTCCCAAAGCAGGGCTTCTCCCACTGGTTAACCATTACCCATGAAGCATTGGCCATTAAAGGATTCCTTACTGGGTAATTGGTTAACTGTTAATGCCCCTATTCACAAGTGGGATGGAGAAGATGAATAAATTCAAGGTGAGGTATAAAAAGATGCTAGTGGGGGTCAGATACACATTTGATAAGAAGAGGTCTTCCACACGGACCTGAGTGATGGCAAAGACCCTGTGGTCACCCAGGGGGAATTTAGCTTACCTGTCTGATGTTCTGACCCACGTATTCGATCACCATCTCGTCAGCTGCAATGGGTTCCATAGCAAAGAGACCCCAGTCATGAATGTGACTCTTGCAGAATTTTAGCTTTTTCTTCCGGAACTGTGTACAAAACAATCCCAAACCACCATGAGCGAAAAGCGAAACAGCAAACTACAAAGCATTTGCAGCATGTGCCATGTCACAAGTGTGACATTTCAGCATGTGACACCTGACTCTATAGTTAAATCAGTCAATTGATTGCCTTCATGTTTGCTGTGAAAGAAAGTGCAGTCTAATGGTTAAAGAAGGGAAGTCTCCATTCTTGGATTTTACTCCTAACCTTGCCCTGATTCACTGAGTGATCTTGTGCAAGTTGGTAGAACTTGTGGGCTATATCTCCTTTGCCCAAGAGTCTAATGGCTGGAGTAAGCACACAGTTTTACTCTAGGACTCAGCTCCACTATGTTCATTGATTGCCTAGTTTCTGCCTCATTGTCTCTGCTGGGTCACAAGTTAAACACCACAGGTATATACACTGACCTCTGTCCCGTGGATTTGAGCAGCAGATCAAAAAGATCTGGTGGTTGTGTTGTTTGGAATGGCAAGTGAATTTAGTGATCTCAATAGCTGCCACACTGAGACCCAAAGACAGAAACATCTCCTAGAACAGCACAGACAATAGAGAAAGTTCTCCAGTGCCCCAGGCCAAAGCACCTCAAACTACCAGCTGTTCTAAGAGACACTATTATTGCTAAGGGGTCAGAGCAGTATTGAGAGCCCTTATGGGGGCACCAAGAAGTTTTCTGTCCCTCCTTCCCAGCCCCAGGAGTAGCTCACCATCCCCAACCAACCCTGGGAGGAGCTCACTCTCCCCCCTCTTCTAGGGCAGGGCAA